AGAGATCTGGGAGCATGGAGCTCTCGCCGGGGAGGCGTTTGAGGTGGATTTGCGGTTGTGCCGTCGGTGAGATGGCGGTGGTGGTGGAGTCGAGGGAGGCAGGGTTCAGTTGGGCGGCGGTTTCAAAAGAGGGGGAGGAGAGAGTTGGGAGGAAGTGGAGATGGGTTAATGATTTTAGGATTAGGGCGGTTGGGGGTATATTTAAATTAATTTATTGTAAATAAATATAAAAAAAATAAATTTTTTTATTTAATTTCTTAAAACCTGATTAGTGAAATATCAAACTTAAATCAGGATTTATGAAAATGGATATCTAAAACCAGGTCTAGATGTAATTTCCTCTTAATCATTTACTAGTAGGGAAGAATTTATAAATTAGGGTTTAAATTTCAACAATTCAAAATTCAAGTTTTAAATTTATAAAATACAAAAATCAGGTATTTAACTAATTAATTAAAAATATTTATTATTTAATTATAATAAATTCAATATATTAATTTATTAAATATATATTTTACCAATTAAATATAGTAAGGACATAATTATATGCAATTTGGTCACAATTATCTAATAAATTAATCAAAAATTAAATTTCGGTTACAATTTATCAAATTATGGGTCACAATTTTTTCTCGGTCACAAATCAAAAATTTTATAGGTCACAGATTACTTTTCAAACGCGAATCAAAATTTCATATGTCACATATTATTCATCAGTCACTAATCGAAAATTTTATGGTCATAACTCATCTATTCATTGCAAATCGATTACAACTTATCAAATTATTGGTCAGACTTATTTTTTGGCCACAAATCAAGAATTTTATAGGTTACATGTTATTTCTCGATCACGAATCGAAAATTTTGTAAGTCACAAATTATTTATTGATTACAAGATCAAAATTTTTATTGGTCACAACTCAATTACAACTTAATAAATTGTGAGTCACATTCACAATTTTTAAATCACACATTTTTTATTTATAAAAAATTAACCAATTTTTTTTATCGCAATCAACCAAATAATTAGTCACAGACATCCACCCATGACCATCACCACGACGACCACTACCACACACAGCACCGCCGTCAAACACCACCACTGCACAACACTTGCAACCACCACCTTAACACTGCCTCCAACAACACCACCAACAACGCACCACCAGAACCACCACCACTTCACCTCCATATCACAGCCACCAAATCTCGATCAACCATCAAGCAGCCAGATCCACCACCTCACATCCATAGCACAGCCACCAACACCTCTACAGAACAGCCACCAAAATATCACGGCACCGTATACACCCAATCTCGATCCACCACCATTTCACCTCCACAGAACAGCCACCAATAGCACAGCCACCAAATCAGGACGCAAAGCACACCATCGCTATGGCCAAATCCATTACCACCAACTCTAGATCCACTGGTGATTCGGGGAGATTTTCTTTGCTTCGTAAGGTAGCTAGAGCTAACCAGTTTTTCGTTAAAAAAGCATGAAAGTCTGTGCTGGAAGAAGAAGAAGACGACACTGCCAAAAAATTTCGAATCTCCGCGCGACAGTTAAGACAGGG